AATTTTACATTTTCATAATAAAATAAGTCAAAATTTCAGCATCATCCGATTTCAGCATCATCCCCGACATTAATTACCGGTAATTAATTAATTAATAGATTGAATGATTAAATCACAAATTTAAATTTCTCGTGTGAACTTTAATTACAAATTTTATTATTTAATATCGTTATATACAGTAGTTTGAAATAGATGACAGATTTGTTGATATCACTAAAAATATTTTGCATCAATGGCTTGACGAAAACTTGCCAAATCTTATTGATAGAGTAACTCGCGAAGTTGTAAATTGTATGCAATTATATATCAATTAATTTTTACACTATAAATGTTATTTTAATTTAATAATTTTTTTTTTATTAACGCTAATACCTTAAATAACAACCATTTGTGACTGTAAAAGCGATTGATCGAAAAAGGAAATTAATTGCTCAAGACTATATATCAACTTCAACTGATAAAGATAAGAATGACCATAAAGTATTCACATATCCATCAAAAAAAATTCAAGGAAAAGTTGGTGAAACCGTTGAAGTTCTTATCTCTTATCAATATTTAACATTTTCCCATGCATCTACGAAGGATATTTGGGGTTCTGGAATATATACTCCTGTTTCGGATTTGATTAAAGGTATACATATCGTTACAGTATTATTTTTATTAAATACAGTCAGCATTTATGTTCTTGTTTTCCTATTATAATTATAATAGTATTAGGCCATTCCGGTGCATTCATTCTTCCAAAGACATCACAACCAGATCATGATCTTTCGGTGATTTTACGATTTTTACCTGGATGTGACAAATATTTAGGATCAATTAATAATGGATTAAAAAGTCAAGATTATAATAAATTTAACTTGAGCTTTGTTATCGAACAAGTTAAACATTTACCTGTGAGTTTTTTTTTTTCTTAATATCGATTATTCTAAAAAGAGAATCAATTAACTTTATTTGTCTTTTATTTATCTTTTATATATCAATATTTCTTTTTTAGATTGTAAGTGTTGAAGTTCTTTAAGTGGATAAATTTAACTATACATTACATAATGAATTCATTTACCTTCATTACATAATATATATCTAAAATATTAATAAAAATATCTATTATCGTTATCGATCAATCTTTGTCATATGAAACTCAACGAAAGTATTATTACTTATTATGAACTTTAACGTTAAGTAAAAAAAAACTAGATTTAAGAATCGAAAAACCGAATATTTACAAAATATTTGTATATTCTTTACCCTTTTTCGTTAATATTGTAATGCTTTTCACTGTACGTACGTTATATTCACTGTATGAGTTTATCGATGGTAATAGCGATAGTATACATTCGTACGTAATACGTACTATACGTACTATGAGTACTGTACGTGTGTACTTAAGTTACATAACTGTTAAGCAAAAAAAAACAATAAAACAATATAACGTAATTTCTAAAAAGTATTAAGAATATTTATTGTTATAAAAAAATAAAACTGCCCTTAAGCATATGATACCAAATAACTGTTTCATATTTCATATAGTCTGCACTTCATAGTCGACTATGTATTACTCAGAAAGCTCTGTTTTATTAATAGTAACAAGTAATTTAAAATACGGATCGGCCGAGAAAAAGTATGGTTACATTAAATTATTTTAAGTACATGCACAGTACTCGCCAAATCTTGGCAAAAAACGTTTGAGATCAGATGACTATGCAAGGACTTTGCCTTTCATTAAACGTTTGAAACATGAAATCTAGATCATTTCGAACTGATATTAGTTGATACAAATTAGTTGATATTTATTAGTTGATACTTATTAGTTGATACTTATTAGTTGATACTTATTAGTTGATACTTATTAGTTAATACTTATTACGTAGTTAATACTTATTAGTTAATACTTATTACGTAGTTAATACTTATTAGTTAATATATAGCTAGATAGAATTACAGAATTACTATGATACCAATAATAATACATACAAATTTCACATAAATAATTTGTATTATTTCACGCGATTCTGAATTTAACAAGTGCACTCAAATATACAGGTGCGGGAAAACTCTTGTCTGACACTGCAACTATCATCTGACTTTGGCACTAAATTAATAATTCATAACTCAGTTTTTAATTAGTGAAAAAATATTTTGGATAGTTCATTATCGTAATGAAAAAAAAAAAGATGGTCTCGACCATTTTTATTTTTATCATAAAGTTGTGCTGATTGGCTAAACTTTAATATCCGAATTTCACACTACGAATCTTTAGCAAAATTTCCGTAAAGATTAATCAATTAATCGTAGTGCTTGTATATTTTCCAATTACATTGAGGGGAATGTTTTTTTATATAAATTATTAATTCTTCACGATCAGTAACAGTAACGGTAAATAAATAAATCAGTGCTTCTACGTAAATGTTTATGCAGCTAATCGTTACTTTAAAAGTATTTATCTAATTTGCGCGAGTGATACAGAAAAAAGATACGTACTCGTGTATTGTAAGTACGTACGCACGTACAGTACATAGCATATAGCAAATCAGGGAACGTTACGCACGTATGTAAATAGAAAAAAAAACGAATGAAATGAGTGAACGAACGAAAGAATAAAATTATTGAACAAAAAATGATTGAACAAATGATTGATTGAA